GATCCACATCAATATACTGAAATCAGTAACAGGACTTAATTTGTGCAACATATTCGTTGTCATCACCTTTACCGTCGTCATTGATCCTTTCCCATACAATTGCTGATGGTGTCATGAATTTAACGCCTCGCGGTTGTCATCTTGTCCACAGGAAATAAATGAATGTCACTAATTTACATCTCACTTGCAAATCACATCGAGTTACGGAAATAGGGGCAGTCCATAAATGACGTCACTCTATTTTGGACGATTTTTGACCCCCCCCCCCCTCGTCACACGGCGTCACAAAAAGTCAGACCAAATCTCAAATATGACGTCACAAAGCTCTGCCCCCCCCCCCCCCCCCAAATAAAACATGCTTCAAATCGCTTTAAACTATTGTCATTGTATTGCGTATTTAATGTGGCGCTGCACTCTGATGTTGTAGGAGAAAACATTAAAAAGTCTATTTAATTAAGTAGAACGTGTTGTCTATATTTATTTAAAGTTGCGCATTTTGATGTGACGTCACATTTCTCACCCCCCCACCCTCGTCCCACATCGTCACAAATGTCTGACGCCCCCCCCCCCCAAATAGGTGCGTGACGTCATTTATGGACGGCCCCATACAGGGCAACCCAAATGCTGCCCGTTTACCGCCAGCAGCATCTCAGATGCGTTGTAACCTCAAGTCAGCATGCCGCCAATTCCTCTTTTCTGAGGATCTGCGCGGTTATGAAGAAATGGACACCCACCATTACCACTTCTAGGTAAACTGGTCTTATTCACACACACACACAACATCACTTTATACGAATAAACGGCCCACGTAACGTATGAACAAACGTAGATTGACCGGGAAAAATGCCAAAGTTAGGTCATTTTTGGAATGTTTACGAGGACGGTTGTTTTCTAGTAATATTATCGCAAGTCTACTTGTCAAATAAGGAACACTTACATGAACAACATCCCAGGAATTTACTTTTTTCGATCTGTTCTATATCGTCCTACAAATGCGCTGACTTCTTTCAATCTCTCCTCAAAATACAAAAGAGATGTTTCTTCAATGATGGTTGATCATTTTCAGAGAAATGATCTCTATCCCCTTTTATGCCACCCAAACCCTGACCAGTTGCCAATTCACTTACTTATCCCTGCAGTTCAACTTTGTGAATATTGAACTATATGCAGTATGCACTACGTTAACGTTAAACTCCGGGACATCGTTTGAGTTTCAACCCAGTAAACATTGAACGTTGGCCCAAAGTTGGTCCAATGGTTCCAAACCACGTGCCAACGTTAATACTGGTAAGAACCTCCTGGTTACACCGGCCCACAGGGGATTATTGTGTCCGTCCGTCCGTCGTGCATCGAAAAATGGGAGGGGTGGGGCTGGGTGGGGACGGAGGGGCTGGGTGGGGAGGTGAGGGTGGGGAGGTGAGGGTGGGGAGGGGCTGGGTGGGGCTGGGTGGGGGGTGGCAGGGGTGGGGCTGGGTGGGGAGGGGCTGGTCACCCCGTGGTGCCCTTATAAAACTCAACGTTTAACCTACTCACGCCGGCTTGTGCCCGCCCTCACAGTCGGGCATATTTGCGGAATACACCACGTGGTGCCGCCGTTGACCCTGGCCATTGACCGAGCAACCCAGCTCCCTCCGCAGGAATGTGTTTACGACTATACTCTTTGGTTCTTTCGGTAAAGTCACGTAGGTATAAAATAAAATCAAGATATTACGACTGTACATTAAGACGTTGGCCCAACATTGGCATGTCTACTGAGAAGTTACAATTACGCCTGATAGGTACATTCATGAAGGGTTCCATTCTTAAGCAAGTTCTGTTTTCTCACTACTGTGCAGCATATCAATCATTATTGCAATTAATTGCTTTCTGTACATTAACACAAGACTCGAGTAAATCACGCTATGTTACAGTCGCTCCATCATTTATGCGTTATTGATTTTATAATTTGATAGTATTCTATTAACACGCCTCAAGTTAATCACGTGTAATTGTAACTATCAATCACCAACGAAGCGATACTGCTGCATCGTCACATTATAATGTACTGTTATTAATTAATGTATATTACGAATAAACCGTGCTGCATATTAACATGCACTTGTATTTAGTAAAACATGTTATCAATGCGTTGATAATGTATTGCTAATTCATGATGAATTCATAGTCTTAAGATATATGCTATATGAACACTTTCCTTAACTACAGCACGTTATTGCAGTACAGTATTGTATTAATGTTGAATTGTTGCATTCGAAATGTACAGAATTACTATTATGTACAACAGTAGCATCGTTCTTGAGTGAATTGCATATCATTGTATTATCACTCCGGTGCTTATTCGTTAATTACGACTGGAAATTGAGGAAGCTGCTTTATTAATTCAAGTGATCGGACGCGTTTTCCTTCTCAATGGGAACCACAAATCGCAAGTCGATTTAACACGAAGCCAAAACGATTCTCCTGCGCTGGGCAAGCGATGCAATGCGTGCACGCATTTACTCAACTCAACATTGGATTAGAATCGTGAGACGAACACACGAATGGGAGAGAACGAGGAAACGCGGGTTCAAGACGAGGATTCAACCTGTTAGCAAAGGTGAGCGACCTAAACGCATCGTCACTTTGGAGGACGGGATGGGGATTTTCGCCAGTCGAGAAGACTACAACGCGGAACAAAAGGCAAAGGAGAGAAACACGCAGAAGATGCCCAGCAATGGAGACACTGACCCAACGAAATATTGGGTTCGGGTTGTGTGCGTGTGCCGGAAGCACTTGCCCCAAAGGTCCGTGAAGACTCTACGGGGGATCTTTGTATCTGTGCGGGAGCAAGACGGATTGTTACATCGCAGTACCGTGGGACATTGGCGACGGCTTGGGGAACTCTTCTTCGTCCAACAGCGGATAGACCATGGAGGATAACGACTCAGCAGGTACTGCATTGCGCTATGCAATTGTAAACAACCGTTGGCAAGTGTTAAGGAACTTGCTTACGTGTTCGTGACGTTATAAATGCAATGCAATTTCAGTCACTCAGCAACTTGTCGCAGTATTCGCAGTATGCCGGACATACCACGTAATCGGATAGCATCTGCACCCAGTGCAGTCCTGCTTGGAGAGGTTATTAGTGCCCCACGCCCAGTGAGTGGCCACGTGCCGGAGATGCATGTTCTCCTTCGTACATATCTTTCTCAAGATCAAACAAACAATAGTGGTGGTCTCTACACAACCCATCGGCTCAGTGGCGTAGTGAATACATTAGGCAATCGGTCAGGTGGGGTCTCAAATATTTGATTCATCTCGCACGGGTGCACCTAGGCTATTTGAATCTCCTCTTGCCGAATCACATCGTTACACTCACGGTCTCGAATATTTAACGCTGTAGGGGCGCTCCGTTTTAAATGTTACACTGTTGTTGTTGTAAACTAATCTCATGGTGGTTGGCCACCAGGGGGTGGGGGGGGGGGGCACCCCCTTCTTCTTGTCGTATGGCTGATGCAGATGCAGAGCAACAAATACAATTTCACATTCAGGTGGTCAAGTCAGACAACCGCGTCAGCAGTAGTGCGGAGTCTCTGTGATGTCTCTCCTTCGTGTTTGTGGATTGGGTTTTGCGCCGTTATATGTTGCACGGTCTGTTCTGGATGGCCACAGTCGCACACGACTAGAGAGTTTTTAAAGTCCCATTTGTGCAGCAGGCATCGGCATCTAATGTCATGGCTTGTGCAGTGGATGCGATTTATGGTGGACCATGAATTTCGTAGGAAGATCAAACCTTGAGATCTTCTGCGTTGGCTGTTTGTGAGTTCCTTTGAACTCCATTCAGCTGTCTAAACTTCATTGGTGTTAGCCCGTTACAACTACTGCGATCGGCCTTCTGGCAGTGAACAATTGCAGCAGCGACGGCGGAGGCATTGATTCATCCATCATAGAGGTTTTTGGGTTAGATGGCGTACATATAAAATGTGTCGTTAAACCCGCTGCCACCCGACACAGCCAATGAGTAAGGTTTGTCACGTAAGCAAACGTCCCAATTCGTTACTAGCGCAGCAACACCGGCGTGCCGGAGAGTAAACCCACAACAACATCTTACAATTCGATTACCGTGACGTTCCGCCGGTAATTACAACCAGCATAATCAGGCGACGGCCAGAGTTGTGGATAACCACCCCCCCCCTCCTCCTCCTCCTCCCCTGATTTCGGTCTTCAATAGCCTGGCGTGTTAAACTGAGCATCCATTCACTTGGCCGAAGCAAAGAGTGTGGGGGGACCCCGGCTTAGACACACGCAGTGCGGGGCTGCTCGGCCAAAGGCGTTGAACGAGTCAGTGGCAGGCGCTCGTTTGGATCAGTGCGCTGGGAGTTTGGGGGGGGGATTGTGGGCACAACAAAGACGAAGATCCTCCCGTGGAGCCCTAACAGACTGTTTGGGGCCGAGTGCTGCTACGAAGGCCGGCACCGTGGCACACGAGGGGGTGTGGGTGTCCGGCAACCACGCCCCGGCCGCCTTTGTCTCCCCAAGGGGCGATGTTTAGACACCGCACGAGGTTACTCGTTTTGAGGCTGAGTCGACCTAGATGGGGGAACGGGGAGGCCCAGGACCGGTTCGGATGGTCGTCACCGTGGTGTTGGCGGCCGTGCGCGGGAATCGAACTCAGGGAACCGCCGGGATCGCGGCGCAGCGCGCTCACAGCTGTGGGCACCCCCCCCTCCACCCCCTCCTCCACCCTCCACCCCCCCTCTCCTCGACCCCCCCTCTCCTCGACCCCCCCTCCCCTCCACCCCCCCACTACACCCCCCCACTACACCTACCCCTTCCACCCCCTCCCCTCCACCCCCCCACAACCCCCCCTCCACCCCACCCCCTCCACTCCCCCAATCCACCCTCCCTCTACCCCCCCTCCACCCCCCCACTCCACCCCCCCACTCCACACCCCCCCTCCACCCCCCTTCACCCCCCCTCCACTCCCCTCCACTCCCCACCACCACCCCCACCTCCACTCCCCACCCCTACCCCACCGCCACCACAGCGAATCTGCCGCCGCCAATGCGGAGCCGCCGTCCGGCCCCTGCGTTCAAATCTCGAACCCCGCGGCTCCCGCTGACCGCGGTGAGTGCGAATCAACCTCAGCGGCCCTTTGCGCTTATTATCGGTATTGTAACCGCGTTGTTGTTGTTGTTTGTAGTATTATTGTTGTTGTTGTGATGATGGTAACCGCTGTGTTGTTGACGCTGTACCGGCTTAGCCCGTGTGGCCGTGCTGTGTTGCTGAATGCAGTGAACGTCCTCGTCTTGCGCAATGCACAGTAACGGCAGGCTCATCGGTTCGCCAAGTTTCCGTTGAGTTTTAATCGATTAAAACAAAATCCACGTAGACAATGTTGCGTCTTTGTTGTGTTGGCGTGTCCTTGCTTGTTGTTGTTGGGAGTTTACGTGTTTTTGGTTTTCCTCAGTCGGGAAGTTGCGAACTCGTGTGGTGTGTTTTTTCTTTCCCCCAACGCTTTTACTAAACTTGTTTTACATTCATAGTGAATGTAACGCTAATGTGTTAACGTAGGTACGTGCCCTGTCCATCGTTCATGAGAGAGATACAATATAAAAAATAGCTCTTGTACCGTCGTCGATGGCCACTGCAGATCGTTAAACGTGAATGACGTCACGGGCGATGGCGCTCGGGTTTTTTTTTTTAAGAATGAAACTTTAAAGTTGTCTCTTGTTGTCTCTCATTAACGAAGCTACTAGCACCTAGGCCGCCACACAGTACTAGGTTGTGGATCTAGAAGGCTTGCCTATCCGTTAGTGTATTGCCTCTAATCGCTCTGCGTTTGCCATCGTGTTCGGTAAAGAGCACTTCATTCTCGGTAGGAATTTCGTCTTCTTATTCGTCTTTTCACCAAGAAACGCCTCGGGGTTGGCTCGTGGCTCTTTTTCAGGAAGGGTCTATTCCAAGTTTTTAAGTATCGGTGGCAAGTCTACTCAACCCCATCATCCCTCCTGGGTCCATACCATGGTTACCACTTTGTTGTGAGATCAGCATTGGTGTTTGCAATACAGAGACTGGCGGCCACCATCGGACCATTACATTTATTGGCTCTTTGCCCGTCATTAGATGTGTGCGCAAAGCAGGGAAACTTTTTTTCTCGCTTGCATTTGCAAATATAATTTGCAGTCATGCTTTTCCTCTTGTCAAGATGAAATAATATTGTTTACCCGGGAAAACAAATGTTTGTTTGCTGGGCCGTGTGGTTTGTCCAACAGTGTTGAGAGAAAAACAAACGCCGTATGAATTCACTCAAACTACACTCAGATAGGTATGAAACACACCATCTCATTGGCGGACATACAGCTGACAGCTACATCTGCATCATCCACCAAGATTAACGCCAAACTGCTGCAGGTGGCACCATTCTGGCAAATTTGGTCGTTAATTAAAAAAAATAATTAAATTAAAAATAATTGTTTCGTAAGAAAGTTTAATTGAAGAATTTTTTTTATTCCATACAGCCAGGTACATTTTTAGTCGAATGGTGGACCAGTATACACACCGGAGAGTTTGTACAAAATGATCACATTTTCTCACATTTTTACACCCAAAATATGGAATACGCTGACATGCTTTCTTGTTGCTCGGGTAAAATTCCCTGGGGAGATGATGTTAAAAACACATTTATTGAACAAAGTGTGTGTTGAGCCTAAGATTGCAATCTTTCATGTCTTATGTTTAATGTTTTGAGTACTGCAGTACGATGTGTCTGACAGCACAAAGGTGGCTCAGAATTATCTCTTAAGTGCTTGATTGGGTCATCACCCACCACAGGGGTGAATGTGAACTGTTGTAGCACTGTTGTCAACATTTATGTGAAACTCTTAACTATAGCCTTGTTTTTCTAGGTTCATTGAACAACCCAAGATCCATCACATCCATCATGTCCGGGCCACATCCACTCACTCCAAGGACTCGAGGGCTGTGTATGTTACAATCAACAATTTGACATGATTTATTTATTTTAAAAGCTACGCACTTGATGTCACTGACTTTCGGCTTCTTTGTGTTTCATACATTAGGTTACCACGTTTTAACCGATGCTGCCATTGCACTTCCACTGAAATTAGTCATTGCAGCATGTTAGCCACGGTTTCTGTTTGTATTTTAAATTCTCTTTGATGGTATTGATTTTGGATGTTCCTTAAACAAATGTATGCTATATAACACTTTACTTAATGAACCACCACAGTCATGTTCTTGTACATTATTTGTTTTAAATATATAGTAAAAAAATATTTCAATTGTAGATCATATATGGGTGTTGTGTGTGTGGAAATCAGGCCTATTGACCAACCTCATTAATATATTTTTTTCCAACGGATGTATTTAAAGCCATACAATTCCAAAAACATTATGTTGGCGGTGTAGCTGTGGTGCAGTGGTTAATGCACTGTTCTATGAACATGGTTACCTGAAATCGATTCCTGCTGACAACGAACTTGAGTGGCGAGTGACATCTGAACCTGTCTTGGGCCTCCTTTCAACATCATGCACTGCCAATATGAAGTATGGTCAAACCTCTCCTATGACCGACGCAGCATAGGGAAGCCTCGATCCAGCAGTGGATTTAAAATGACAGTACACTTTTCATGGGGACATGTGTAAATGTACACACAATGAGAATACCTATTGTACAAAGAAGGGATGATGGACAAGAAAAAGGGCAACAGAGACGAAAAGAAAATGCAAATTTACTAGAGCTAAAACAATAAACATGACATTCAATAAAATAAAAAAAACATGCACACAGTGTGTTAAAAAAACATAAATAAACACTAAACGTCAAATTAAAATATTGCAGCAGAACAACTTACCTCATTTGCATGTATGTAAGATTATAACAACAATTACACATGTGTTTACCAATCAGAGGTTCAATGTACGACATGCAATTTAATCTACAGGGGAAAGAATGTACGCTCACCCGCTTTGAGCGAGAAAATCTGTATTCTACATTTGCCATCGCGATCGTCGTGAGCACGGAGCACGGGCTCTAATGAGTTGATTAGGCAAAGCAGTGGGATGCTTAGTCTATGGGACGTTGTCAGTTGTACAAATTAAAAAAATTATCGCCTGTTAATTTACAAATCGAAGAAATCTCAGATAAAGCACGCATGCCCTCTGCTCACGAGTAATTTGATGCGCAGTATTCTTCCAGACATCATGCTTATTTATTCACTTTGTGCTCTGTCTTTGCTGCATGAGGATACTCGGCACTGTAGTAAGACTTGTTTGAAGGGCAATCTATTAATTAGTGTGAGATAGTGTGACTAACACAAGTACATTGATGTACGTTTTATTTGACCATAGCAATGGCACACAATGTCTTATTAAAGCACTGATTTTAGCATTTCTGTTTTACCTCAAAATGTACACACAAGACATCATCACATTCAGTTGCAATTGCATGTCATACAAAAATGAGTTAAAATAATGGATGAATCATTTTAAATTTATCTAACGTAGCCATTTGGATAATATACACACTGATAATTGCTTGGTGGATTCTAGTTTATACCATTTTCATGAATGTAAATTTATATGAAGGTTTCAGATCAATGATAAGCATTCATATTTTTCCAATTCATACATATAATCTCTTAGGCATGCAAAACACTAATAAATTATGCAATATTTCAAATACGCTAAATCTTTGTGGACTAATTTTGTGAAGAAAAAAAATGTGCTTTCTCCTCATGTGGAAGGAAGTGGCTATCATCCTAATGGTTATTATTTAGAGTAACACCTCTGTTCTTTGAAGGGTGGCCGGTTGACTTGGCTCTTCTAATGTCAAAGCTGTATCTTAGTGCTTGCATCATTTACCACCCCTCATTTATGTTATTTTACATGGGCTGAGCATTATTATTTTTTCTTTCTATGTGCTGCACAGCTGACCTTAAATGTGTGCCTTGCTGTACACTCAATGTCAACTACATATTGTTGTTGTTTTTGAGACAACTGACATTTAAATATATAGATGACCATTATAAACAAGGTAAGAGCCCATTCAGACCAGAGGTCTCTTTTTCAAAGAGGACTTAAACAAGTCTAGCAAAATGGAATATACATTCCATTGTGCCAACAAACAGTGCGATTTGAAAATACATTACAACACATACATATTACGTAATAAGTGACACGTTTAAAAGATTATGCAATAGATGTGAATTAATCGAACACTACAGTACATGGTTGCCTATATTAAACAAATAAAAAACCATTGATTAAATAGTAACTAACAGCCTATTGAAACTTAAATGAGGTACATTGGATGTTAAATATAATGTAGATCCAATATCTTTCCACGGCCGATAGACATTCTCTTCAGTATGCACTTCATACGCGTATTTAATTGGAGAAGAGTTTATTGTGTTAAGGTTTATAAACTCCAAAAATTTCATGCATTTTAAATAGCTTTCTGTAAATACTGATCAATTTAATCGATAACATTTTTTTTAATTATTGCTATTTAAGATGTATGTAGGTAGATCCTTCCATGGTATGAGGTTGTTGAAAATAAAATCACTTTATTACAGATTTGCACCATTGAAGGTAATATGGCATTGGCACAATGGATCATCTGCCAGTAAGAGCATTGGGCCACTTATCTCCACCTCTGGCAAAATATATCTGAAAATATTAACGCATAATTGTGAAATCAAAAGCAAGTGGAAAGCTAGCAGGGTAAAAAGGCAAAGTTCAATGTTCTGGCCAGTTTACATAAAAAGATCTGTAACACATGTAAATAAAGACAAGATGGCTAATATTCCAACAATTCAATCATGAATCAATGCAGGAAATTAAGACTTGGCGCCAAATAGAGGTACAAGAAAATGTGTAAGTAAGACATTAATTTCAAGAAGTTTCAATGAATTTGCACTTTTCGGCTGTAAAAACTGATTGGCCATTTCCTTAAGGGATTTGGGTATTCACTGTTTCTAATTATATGAAAGAACATTCCCCCAGTATTCACCATATCTTAAATGTATTAGATAAAAGGATGTTAGTATTGAGAGATATATTTTCGAGGAATTTTTTAACGTACATTTTACTAATTATCTAAACTTTTTTTTGCTCATACATCAATCTCTTCAATTAAAACCTATTGAATGGCTTAAGAGGGAGTGCTTTTATGGCAAAGCAGTTTGTATTAACTTTTCTATTGGGTATGGGGACTCCTATCATCATATCTCATGGGACGCAGATTTGTCATTGATGACTATGACATGTGAAATATCTGTGGAAATTGAAAATGGCAGTTAATTAGAAAATAATTATCGCATCAAGTCATTAATTTGACACTATCCAAAAATCATTGCTGGTGTCAAGAATAGGCTCCCTTAATGTTTGCATATCACTAATCCTGTTCTTATAATCTCTTGTGGAATTTATTTTTCACAGTCGCAGTTTTTGATAGCAAAGGATTAAGGGCTAGTAGTTGCTGTTAACACTAGCCTTAACCATTCTATATATGTATGTTGAACTTATTTCGCACCAACCATGCTAACTGCAGGTGCAGGGGAAGAACAACAAACTAAACACAAAACATAGTATATTGCGCATTTTACAATGTATTATGTTCCAGCTGTCAAGTATATACCAATGTACAGTATTTCTATCAAGCACATTTTTTATCGTATTTGTTATATGAAATACATTTCATGATTTAATGACTGGATTATATGAGACCATCACAGTTTGTGCTCGATGTGCAAGAATTCCTTAGCACGGAGCATGTGATGAATAACTTTTTCTCTTGCATTGCACGCGATTGGAGGTAAATGTTGCCGAACAAAATGATCTACTCAAACCAGTCTTTAGGGAGGAAGTAAAAGGACACTGGAGTCACCTCTCATCACTTCTCTTTGGAAAATGCAGTCATCTTTCAAAGGAATGTGATGAGCTTTACAGAGCGTAAATTAATGGAGGCAAGGTGTGAAGTTTGTCAATCAAGTCAACTTGCGGGTTCACAGCTAGCAGCCCCCACTGAATCGTTGATACATTATTAATTCCTGCTTAACTGTCAATTGAACCAGCTATATAACTGCCAATCACGTGCATATCACGCCCATTTGTCTGCGACAGTTTCAGGTGTGTGCAAAGTCAGCCATCAGGGCACACTTCAGCCAGCATGAAGCGTGCGATTGTGCACTACGAAATACACAATTGTGCTTTTTTTATACCAATTAGTGTTTTTTTCACGAGTGTTACAATTGGGATTTACGGGCATTCGTGCCTCAATGGCATTCACAATATAATTTGAAAGATACCTGTGTGTTTTTGGCAGGTACGCAAAAACCACATGCACTAAAGGACAAGGGCAGTAATTAGGTGCAGAATGAGCTTGAGGCCAAAGTAAAAAGCCAAAGGAAAGATGGATAGCGACAGCTGACGCAATGAGATAATCCATCCCCACAAACAGAAAACACTATCGTTGCAAAAAAAGCTGCATCAATTATTTCCTTGTGTAACCTATTATTGGAAGAACTGGTTAATAACTGAAATTTGATTTGAAAAAAGTGTTTAATTTATTTGAGGAGCGCTATCAGGTTAGTTCAATTCAGTCGGTGGTAATTAAGCATATGGCAGCGTTATTTAAATTTAAATAAAAATTGCAAAAAGACAAACAGTATTAATATTGTAATGCTTTTCAAATACAAAGACAAAGCATTCTGAAAGAGTAATATCCTCACTGGAGGAAAATAAGTGCAAATTAGTTTGGCTTGTGGAATTGATGTTATAAAGTGAAAATGGTATTTGTGCATCAGTATGTTGTGTATATGGTAAACGTAAAATACAAAACAGATTAACTGTGTTCATTAAAATGCTCCTTCTAGAATACATAACGAAAAATAATTTGAAAATACTTTCTTTTTTTTATGTAAAGAGATATATAGAGACATTGTCTGATAATCTTTATTTT